TAGTGAAATTCCACATACCTGGTGACGAATTTCACGGAGAAATCCTTTGATTTCTGAGCTGGAACTGAAGAAAACTTGATGCGTTCTTGAACTAGGGTTCTTGACCTTTTTTCTCCTCGTACGCTATAAGTTTCTAAGTTTTGAATAATGATTTGATTTAGGTATGTTCTAGTTATGTTTCTAGGCTTAAACTGACTAAAACCTCATAATTTAGGGTCTAAACGACGTAGCTTTGGAGTCCAACAAAATAGGAAAAGACCAAAACGACTCTGCCCTATAATTTGCTGAAGTGACCTACGAACTGATCGACGATCCGTCGATGGATCCATGATCCATCCTGTCAGTTCATCGATGACTTCAGAGGCCAGGTTCTGAGGGCCTCGACCTACGGACTGATCGACGATTTGTCGATGGATCCACGATCCGTCAAGTCAGTCTGTGGGTCATGCCTTAGAATGGTTTTGTCTGAATTTCTGGGGATGGTTGCAGATGCGAACCACGGATCGCCATCACGGGTCGTGGGTCGCCCTACAGTCTGTGGGTAGCAAGAGTGAGTTGCACCTACAACTTCTGGAAATCTGCATTAAGTTATGTTTTTGGATACGGGGTGTTACAATATCGAGTTGAGCATGTTCTCTGGCGGAAATGATATGACATTTGTCCATGATCCTCGCAAAGGAAGAGACAAGCAAGAACGCAAAAGATGGAGCAAATTTGTGCCCAGAAATGACAACAAACAATCCATGAATGTTAATGTGTCGCCTACGAAGTTCTCCACGAATGAGGGCATGAAGCAAAATATGAGAACGACTTTCCAAGGACATTCAAATCAAACGTCAACACTAAGGGAGATGCAAGGGAAAAAAATATCCCTTCATGGATTCTGACGTTTCTGAAATTTTTGATGAGTTGCTCGAGTTAAAGCTCATTGACTTGCCAGAGATGAAGCGACCTGATGAAGTTGGAAAAGCTGATGACCCAAATTATTGCAAGTATCATAGACTTGTGAGTCATCCTCTTGAAAAATATTTTGTCTTCAAGGATAGAGTGATGTGATTGGTTCACGAAAAGAAAATTTTCCTTGATGATGAGGAGGCTAGTTCTAATCAGATCTTTATCACATTCGGCTCACTTGATCCGGTCCAAATATATATCTCTGAAAAGCATGAAGAAGAGCATTGGAGCAAGAAATTGATATAGATGGTGATGAAGGTTGGATTCTTGTGACTAGGTGAAGACGCAACAAGTCAAGCTTACGAAAAGAATCATTCGAGCAATCGATTATAAGGAAAATGGTGAAGAAATTGTAGAAGCAGAAATCAATCAAGCGCCCAAAAAGGGTAAAGGTAGAAGTGCATCACTACCAGAAACCCCAACGTCCTGTGACTCTAAAGGAATTCTTACCAAGTTCGTTCTGCACAAAGTCTACTCAAGACAATGTCGAGGCATCATGTTTCAGTGCTGATAAATAAGAAACAATAAGAATGTCCTGACAAAGAAGGAACAAATAGTGAATCCTCACCAAAAGTGTCTCTTAGTGACGAAGAAAAAACAAGGGAAATCTTGACAATGATGTCTTTTTCATATTCTGAAAAATCTATTGAACCTTCTTTCCTAGAAGCACATGCATGTGATACAAAAATCACATTTACATAAAATGATCTTCTATTTGGTGAAACACTACACAACCGTCCTTTGTATATGTTGGGTCACGTGTTAGAGAAGAATATAAATAGAATCTTAATAGATGAAGGATCTAGAGTCAACATTCTGCCTATCCACACATTGAAGGAACTCGGCATCATTATTGAACTGAAAGTCGTCTGTTGATACAAGGATTAAATCAAGGGGGACAGAGGTCCATAGGCTTTATTAAATTAGAATTCCACTTGGAAGATTTGCGATCAAGCGCATAGATGCATGTGATCGATGCAAAAACTTCATACAATATATTACTTGGCAGGCCTTGGGTACATGAGAATAGAATTGTCTCATCTTCTTACTATCAATGTTTGAAGGATCTTGCAGGAGGGATTGAAAGGAAGATAGTTGCAAATGATAATCCTTTCACCAAAGTTGAGACACACTTTGCCGATGCAAAATTCTATTTGAAGGGTTATGTTGTTAAAAGAACAAAATCTAATGATGTTAAGACAATAAAGTTTGATAAGATCACAAGCAAAAGAATCGATGCAGCTGTCAGAAAGGCAAAAGTTGACACTAAAGAACTTTGTCCCATTCTTAATGAAGGAAAGATCATGTCTTCGAAGAATCTGACTTTTGGACTTCGCTATGTTCCAAAAGTAAAGAAATAAGAAGGTCAAGAAAATGCATTGAGAGGGTTAACTCTTCCTATCAGACGGATCGATGCGATAAGCTTGTCTTTGAAATGTGGAGTCAACATTCTGCCTATCCACACATTGAAGGAACTCAACATCACGACTGAAGTGAAAGTCGTCTGTTGATACAAGGATTCAATCAAGGGGGACAGAGGTCCATAGGCTCTATTAAATTAGAAATCCACTTGGAAGATTTGCGATCAAACGCATGGATGTATGTGATCGATGCAAAAACTGCATACAATATATTACTTGGCAGGCCTTGGGTACATGAGAATAGAATTGTCTCATCTTCTTACTATCAATGTTTGAAGTATCTTGAAGGAGGGATTGAAAGGAAGAAAGTCGCAGATGATAATCCTTTCACCGAAGTTGAGACACACTTTGCCGATGCAAAATTCTATTTGAAGGGTTATGTTGTTAAACGAACAAAATCTAATGATGTTAAAACAATAAAGTCTGATAAGATCACAAGCAAAAGAATCGATCCAGCTGTCAGAAAGGCAAAAGTTGACACTAAAGAACTTTGTCCCATTCTTAATGAAGGAAAGATCATGTCTTCGAAGAAGCTGACTTTTGGACTTCGCTATGTTTCAAAAGTATAGAAAGAAGAAGGTTAAGAAAATTCATTGAGAGGGCCAACTCTTCCTATCAGACGGATTGATGTAATTGACATACAAACATCTAATGTAACAAAATATTGTGAAAATTTATGATTACTATCGAGATAAAATTCTCAACTCCTACTTGTACGTGAATCCCTAGTTTTCCCCCACAAATTTTCTCATCAATCATCTCAATTTGTTCTTTGTCTCATGGATGACTTTGTATTCCACATTAGTTAGTCTACTTGCCAAACACATTCTATCAAAAAAAAAAACTTCAACATACATGATTTCACAATACATTATGAGAATTAAGGTGATCAAGAAGTCAAATAAGAGATTGAACATACCAAAGAGAATTTAATTAGTGTCATCTAGGTTTCATATGTGAAGAGTGAAAAATTATAAATCAATTCACCTTTTGTCTTGAGATAAATCGCATTCCACATTCTTCAAATCTTATTTCTTATCTTCAAATCATGTCTATTATAATGACCAACTCTGGAAAAAAAATAAAAATATGTCAAACTAACAATCAAGTTAAAAACAAATATAGTAAACAAGTTACTACATGAAGAAAAAAAATTACACTTCCAATCTATATATAGTACAAAAATATAGAATATGAAAACACACAAAATTATTAAAATATAATTGCTCAAAGATAAATACATACTAATTAATATAATTGAAAATTTGGAAATTGTTGATGAAAAAAATGGAAAGAAAGAAAACATACAGCTAATCATTAATTTCACAATTAAGAAAAATTAAAATCACTTAATTAGTGCTAATATTTAGTCATTGGTTATTTAGGTAAAAGAAAACTTACAGCTAGCCAAATTAATGTTTCTTCTTGGTTAATTTTAGTTACCTCCAATTTAGCAGTAATTTAATTTAATTACATTAAGCAAAATTCACGTTCCTTTTTAAGTCAATGGTATACTCAAATTAATATTAATTTTTGGTTAGTTTTAGTTACTATCGATTTAGCAGTAACTTAATCAAATTAAACTAAGAAATTTAACGTTCCCTTTTTAGTCATTGTACATTTCTAGTCATTGTATCATTAGTTTTGGAAGAAATAAATGTTATGAAGGCTCATAATGAGGGAAGAGAATAATTTTACATATTTTTGAACAGAAAATGAAGGTAAAAATTAAAAATTTTGAAAAAATAAATAAATAGTGATACTGATCATTGAAGCATGCCACATCAGCGAGCTGATATTCACTTTATATATATATATATATATATATATATAGATTCATGAATATATTAGTCCAAATAAATCATGGATTAATATAATTGGACTAATTATTCAAGTCCAATAAATATGGATTTAATTAAAGACAAAATAAAAAGATTTGGGCTACAATATATAAACCCAATTTGCTAAGTCCAATGTCATATTATCCTAGAGGCCTATTCTTTTGGAGCTACATGGCAAATGATGTGGCATGCCAAGTCAAACAAGAAGCCAATAGAATCATGACATGTGTCAAAGATGACAAGACCGCTCCATAAAGCCCATATGCCACATCACTTAAATCTAATTGGCCGAAGGGAATTCTATTCCAATTGCAACTCCCCTATTCTAAAACTATAAATAGAGGTCCTCATAATTCAGAAAAGGAACCAAAAATTCTAAACAAGAAGCTAGAGACAATCTGTGGTACAAACGCCATAAAATTCTCTATAAAGCAACAAGTTTAAGAATTCAAGCATTCAAGTTCAAGAACGATCAAGATCAAGACCATCGGATTCAAGAACAAGCTCGAAGCCCTTGAATTCAAGTAAAAGTCAAGATCAACTTCATCGAAGATTCTCAAACAACCTTGAAACCTCTTGAATTTATATTTGAAAAGGCGAATTCAGAGGTATCATAGAGATTGTAACACTCGCACTTTGAAATAATAAATACAGTTGTTGATTATTGTTTTCTCGATGATTATTGTTTTCTCGATGCGAATTTTATTGTCTATAAATTCAGTCATGCCCAGTGGGACAATTTTTACCTCTCATCTCAACTTTTCAAGCATCAAAGAAAATCGAGATGACTTCCATGAAGAACAGCTCTCAATCAACTGCCTCTAAGGCTAGTAGCTCCAAATTCTCTATTGAAGTTGATGGAATTCTTGGTGTTACCTTTGAAAGTTTCGGAGCTGTTACAAGGAGCAAGGCTGCTACACTAGGACAAAAAGCACTTCAAGTGTCATCCGCATCAACTCCTATTTTTGGGTCTTTGACTCCAAAAGGAGCAAGTTCCTCCATAAATGCTTTAGAAGGAGGAAGATGTGTTGCTGAAAAGATCAAGAAGATATTGGCTCTACTTGAGAAATCTGGTTCCAAGACTAGGCAAGCACATGAAGGCCTAGGTTATAGCCAACCGCCGCCAATTCACATTTCCATAAGAAGGGCAAGCAATAACCATATAACTTTTGAAGATGATGTCACTACTTCCAACAAAAAGCCTTCCGTTTTTTATTGATTTGGAGAATCAACTGCAAGAGCTTTTGTGTTCAAGAGGTTAGGTTCGTTGAAGAAGAAGAATAAGAAGAATCTGAGAAGCTATCTAAAAGTGACAACGCTTGCTTCACCTATTATCCAAAAGGATTTCAAAAGTTTGATTCCTTCTAGAATAAGGCAATGAGTGGAACTTGTAGTTTGTTGTAAAGAGGAACTCAAGGCAAAAGCTCAAATTGTAGTGTACACCAAGGAGCTTCAGGAAGATGAAGGCTCCTCATATCATGTTACGATCCGAAATGAGCACGATGCCTTGCCTAAAATGAAGTTTGATGAAGAGTTGGAAGATATTGTTTGTTGTTGTCATATATCTGTCAATGACAATGAGCCTTTAGAAGAAGAAGATGCTAGAGATGGTCCACCAGAACTTGAAAAAGGAGTGAAGACCACAATAGATCCTTTAAAGGAAGTTAACCTTGGCACTGATAAAGACCCAAGGCCAACTTACTTGAGTGCCTTTCTAGAAGTTGATGAAGAAATTGCTTATATGAATATACTCAAGGAATATAGGGATGTCTTCATTTGGAGTTATAAAGAAATGCCTGGCTTGAACCCTAAAGTAACAGTCCATCAATTGGCAATCAAAAATGGTTCTCGTCTAATTAAGCAAGCTCAAAGACGTTTTAGGCCAGACTTAGTTCCGTTTATAGAAAATGAAGTTAACAAAATCATTAAGGCAGGCTTTATTCGTGAGGTCAAATATCCTACATGGATTTCAAGTATTGTTCCTGTGAGGAAGAAGAATGGTCAAATTTGAGTTTGTGTTGACTTTAGAGATCTCAATAATGCAGGTCCTAAAGATGAGTTCGCTCTTTCCATTCTGAAACTAATGATCGAGGCCACTACTGGTTATGAGGTGATTCCTTTCATGAATGGTTCTTCCAGCTATAATCAAATCCGCATGGCACCAAAAGATGAAGAACTCACCGCATTTTGCACACCTAAGGGTATCTATTGCTACAAAGTGATGCCATTTGTTTTAAAGAATGCTGGTGCCACATATCAAAGGGCTATACAAAATATATTTGATGACTTACTCCATAAAAATGTTGAATGTTATGTTGATGACTTGGTGGTAAAGTCGAGAAAGAGGGGTGATCATTTGAAAGACTTAAGAATGGTATTTGAGTTGCTCCGAAGATATCAACTAAGGATGAATCCATTGAAATATGCCTTCGGAGTTACTTTTGGCAAGTTCCTTGGCTTTATTGTGAGACATCGAGGAATTGAAATTGATCAAGCCAAAGTTGATGCAATATCGAAAATGCCTGAGCCTCAAAATATTCATGAGTTAAAAAGTCTCCAAGGAAAACTAGCCTACTTGAGGATGTTCATCTCGGATCTAGTGAGAAGATGTCAACCATTCGGTCATCTCATGAAAAAAGGTGCTCCTTTTAATTGGGACCAAACATGTAGCGATGCCTTTAAAATTATCAAATCATATATAGAGAAACCTCCAGTTTTGGCCGTCCATATACCTGGAAAGCCATTGATACTCTACATTGCAGCACAAGAAAGGTTCGTAGGAGCCCTGTTAGCTCAAGAGAATATTGAAGACAAAGAAAAATCTCTTTACTAATTGAGTAGGACGATGACACCAAATGAGCTGAACTATTCACCAATTGAAAAATTATGTTTATCGCTAGTCTTCTCAGTTCAAAAGATGAAGCATTATTTTCAAGCTCATGTTGTTCGTCTTATTTCTAGAGCAAATCCTATCAAGTTTTTTATGTCGAAACCTGTCCTTAGTAACCGACTAGCAAGATGGTACCTCAAATTCCAACAGTTTGAGATTGTGTACATCCCTCTGAAAGCTGGAAGGGACAAGCATTAGCAGATATCTTGGCAAACCATCCGATACCAGATGATTGGGAGTTAACTGATGACCTTTCTGATGAAGATGTGATGTCTATTGAAATTCAACTTCCTTGGAAAATATATTTTGATGGGACTGCACATCGTGGTGGAAGTGGCGCTTGCGTGGTGTTCATCACTTCACAAGAAGAGATTCTACCATTCTCATTTACTTTGAAGCAATGTTGATCCAATAATATCGCTGAATATCAAGCGTTGATACTTGGACTTGAAATGGTCGTCGACATGAAACAATTACACTTACAAGTCTTTGGTGACTCTCAGTTGGTGATCAATCAACTCTTGGGAAGTTGTGAAGTGAAGAAGCCCGAATTGCCTCCTTATCATGATTATGCTCAAAAGTTGATAGGATGGCTTAGAGATGTAACCCTTCAACATGTGCATAGAACGGAAAATAAGAAAGTTGATGCATTGGCTTCTCTAGCTTCAACGCTATCCCATCCTGATCAGGCGCAAGTTACTATTTGTCAAAAATGGATAGTACCACCGCTAAATAAGGAAGAATATATAGAAAATGAGCTTGAGCATATCGTCGTTGTTTTTGAAGTCGCGGACGAAGATTGGAGACAACCCATTATTGACTACATGTGTTATGGGATACTTCCGGAAAATCCAAGGAGAAGGACTAACATTCGCCGTCGTGCACCTCACTTCCTTTACTACAAGGACATTATATAGAAGATCATTTGAGGGAGTACTCTTACGTTGTTTAGGAGAGGAAGAAGCAGTCCAAGCTCTGCAAGAAGCACACTCGGGAATGTGTGGATCACATCAATCTGGACCGAAGCTCCACTTTCACATAAAGAGGATGGGGTATTATTGGGCAACCATGGTGAAGGATTTCTTATATTATGCTCGAAGGTGCAATGCTTGCCAATTTCATGCAAATTTCATACATCAGTCGCCCAAAGTATTACACCCAACTATTGCATCTTGGCCATTTGACGCTTGGGGATTGGATATTGTGGGACCACTACCAAAATCTTTTAGTGGACAGTTGTATATCTTGGCTGCAATAAATTACTTCTCAAAATGGGCTGAAGCTGTCGCTCTTAAAGATGTGAAGAAAGAGAATATTGCAAATTTTATTCGAGTGAATAGCATATATCGCTTTGGTATCCCTCGCTAGATAATAACGGAAAATGGCAAGCCATTTGATAACAAGTTAATGAACAAAATTTGTGACCTCTTTGGCTTCAAGCAACATAAATCTTCTATGTATCATGATGCCACCAATGGTCTTGCTGAAGCATCTAATAAGACTCTATGCAACCTCCTAAATAAAGTTGTCTTCAAGTCCAAACGGGATTGGCATGAAAGAATAGAAGAAGCTTTGTGGGCATATAGGACAATATACCGCACATCAACTCAAGCAACACCATATTCACTTACTTTTAGAGTTGAAGCAGTCCTGCCACTCGAGCATCAAATACCTTCCTTAAGGCTTGCTATTCGAGAAGGGCTCACTGAAGAAGAAAATGCTCGACTGCGTCTTGCTCCACTAGAAGCACTTGATGAAAAGAGTCTTCTACAAAATCTTGAATGTTATTAAGCTCGTCTATCTCGTGCTTTCAATAAGAATGTTTACTTGAGGTGCTTCCAAGTTGGAGACCAAGTTCTCGCGGTAAGAAGACCCATCATTACTTTGCACAAGTCTTAGGGCAAATTCACCTCAAAGTGGGATGGACCATATGTCGTACAAGAAGCATACTCACATGGTGCTTACAAGCTTGTTGAAGAAGATGGAATAAAGATCAGTCCTATTAATGCAAAATTCCTAAAGAGGTACTACCGCTGAAGTAAGATGCTCCTCCTTAAGGTACGAGCCTAAACTGCATGTCACTCCTGGTCCGCAAGAGTAAAAACTGAGCACAACACAAAAAAAAGAATCACTCACTCCCCCAGAACTACGTTGTGACTTGATCCTCTTCACTGAGGTACATAGGCGCTTAGAATATATCCTAAGTTCAGTTGCATGAGTGTAAAACAACCACATGTTCCTACTTGATCCCTCACATGAAAGTCAAAGCAATAAGTATTGTTATTTTGTCTTTTGTTTTATCAAACTTTAGACTTGTACGAAGTATTGATGGGTCAATGGAAAGGGGGGGGGACCCTTATAAAATATGAGCTTCTTTGACAGTAGGCTTGAAGTCTTTAAATTCAGACAAGTATGCGAGTTGAAGTCTTTAAATTCTTCAAGTATACAAGTTGAAGTCTTCAAATTCTATAAAATAACAAGACAAGTCCTACAAGTTTGCATGTTAGACTCTTAAATCAACCAAGTTTGCAAGTCAATGTCTTCGAATTCTATGAATTTACAAGTTAAGGTCCAAAAACTCGTTACGAGTTGAAGCATTAAATTCCACAAAATTCACAAGTCAAGTTTGAAGGTGCAAACTTAAAAATGTGGAACTTGCACTATATTCATTCTTATTGGCATGCAAAATATGGAATGACTTTGAATTACTAAAAGCTTACAATCAAGAATTAAAGAGCAAATTCAAATTGGAGAATGCAATAAAAATGCATGATATGAGGAAAAAAGGGAAAGAACTTCATTACTATAAATTGTCTAAAACATCAATCAAATGCTAAAGAAAATAAAAAAAGGGAAAGACAAAGAAAAGCCTAATCTAAGCGTAACTTGTAGTTGGTCAAATCTTGACGACTAGCCTCCAAGCACTCTTTTTTCTGTTCCAAACGAATTGAATCTTCGGGCGTTAATAAACTCATATTTTCATACAAGGATATCTCATCTTCTGTAGCTAAAATCTTGGCTTGGATCTCCTCAACATTCTTCTTAGTAGCTTCTAAAATAGCTTCAAGTCCTTCACGCTCTCCTTGTAAAGTTGCTAGCTTCCACTTAGCCTTCTTTGGCGATTTCTTGTTAGAAGAAACGTGTTTTGCCTTCTCACCCTCTTCTACTTTGAACAATTCAAGACGATCCTTAGCATTGGAAAGCAACTCCATCTTCTTATCTTCATGTGCCTTGTCAACAAAATTAGAGTGTTCTTGATCATAAGAAGTAGCATGATCAAAAAGAGAATCTACCAAGCTCTTCAATGGTGAAACATCTAATAATTTCATCTCACTCATCTCCTTGAAAATCTCACAAATATCATCTTCGTAAGATGAAATATTGTCTAGAGAAGTTCTAGAAAGTTTTCCACAAATCTCTTCCCAAAGACCCAAGATGTACTTCTTTTTGTGGTTGAACACAACACCTTTCCCTTCGAAGAAAGACAGAGCTCCATTACCCTTTGGAAGAACTCGAGAAAGCTCATTTGAATTAGGAGCAACCCTTTTAAAGTTTGGTCACAAGAAGCAAATGATGTCTTTTGTTCTTGCTCGATATTTGAAATTGATTTTGCCTTAGACCTTGATATTGCAGTAGACTCATCGCTAACTTATGGCCTTTCACGTGGTGATCCTAGTGAATGTCCGGTAGTGTTGACCTACAAGCGAAATGGGTTGGTTAGCAAAGTCATTTTATTCAAGATAAAAAAAAAATTGTGTCACTCTGAATTGTCAATGATCTTGAAGGACTATCGACATTTGGACTTCTACATCAACAACATCAGCCCCAGATGATTCAACCCTTTGCATCTTCCAACATCGATCCTTGCTATTTTTGCTTGTTTCTTGAAAAGCCCATTTACTAGAGAAAAGAATTTGGGGACATTTCTCTTTATCAGTAAAAGTACGAACTACTTCTTTCATAGATGCCTTAGAGGAGTTAAGCTTCTTACTTTGATGTTCGGGAGCAAGTGGTGTCTTGACTTTTGAAAGTGTCTTCTCGATATCTTGACTCTTTTCTTCTAAAAGTGTAACAAAGTTTGACATAACTTTCTCCATCAAAACGTCCAAAATTATCCTCAAGAAACATTCCATGGGATCTCTCCCACCAAGATGAATATCGGGTAGTGTAAAGCTTCTTTGCAGAAGTTATCGCAGGAGGAAATGTCGCTTTAGACATAGTTGCACGTGATATGCAAATGTGCCAATATCTGAGGCCTTCATCAACCAACACAACACGAATATCATTTTCTGAATAGCTAGGAATATCTTGATGGAAACCAAATTGACGACTAAATCAGTGCGGACTATATGGCTCAATGACAAAGGAATCTCCCCTCCTTAATGGAAGATAATTAAAACGAAGGCTCATACAATAAGATAACTCTAACTATGGTGCTTTGCCATCATCAATATAATAAGTTGGGTGAGGCCTACTAAGCATGGTTGCATTCCATACAATGCTTTCCCCCCGATGAACATGCTTTCTTGCCTCATCTTTGTCAAAATACTTTACAGCACCTTCCCCAGAATATACCACCATTTGTGGTAGAGAAGGTCCACTAGTAAGCGGCTAGTGTGTCTTGAGATAATAAGCAAGCCAACCAAACATAGTGAATGGGAAAACAAACTCTTATATGTCTAACTGTTAAGAATTTGAAATTTTGTTTAAGCCATGATATATGCTCGCTAAGACCGGAACTGTAAGGCTAACCCTTCGACCGCTCGCCATTAAGCTTGCCATCTTGAAAGTTTCAGGCCGAATGAAATTCCCTTCTTCAGACGGAAACACAAAGGCACACAACTAACATGACAAAAAGGTCGTCAGATAAGTCTCATATTTTTTGTGTTTCGCTCCAAGCTTAGAAAATACCATCTCTTGAGCACTTAATCATGTGTTTATCTCAGTAGGTATCTCACTTGTTGGATTATGTGTAGGTGACAGATGTCGAGATTTCTTCTTTTTCCTTGGGGAGATAACTTATATTTGAGATATTTCTTGCACCAAAATTGTATCCATTCACTAAAAGGGACCCCTATATTACCATTATTTTCCTCTTTAAGATGATGAAAGGCAGCAAACATATACTCACAAGTTTGGGGGAGAAATCTTTCCCTCTTATCATCAAAACCTGTAAGTTTTGTGGCATTAGGTATCACTTATTGGTAAGGGACTCCGCTAATTGGCATGCCACCAAGAATATGAAAATCCCAAAGAGATATGGATGTTTCTCCGGTAGATGTAAGTAATGTATTTGTTTGGGGGCACCAAGCCTCACAAAAGGCTTGTATAATAATGGAGTTCCGATCATAATTAAGTAAAAAGAGAAGCAAATACAATATCACAAATATAAGCGTTATTTAGACTTTACCCATTTTTGCTTAAGACATCTTTTGTCCATTCCTAGTATCTTGGAATGCAATGATATTCAACTTCAAGCACAATGTTGTCCCTCCAACGCAGTTCCTCTTGAATCATGCGGCGACCTAAATTTGAAAGAGTGCATACGATATTTGTACCTTGAGATTTGGTTGCTCAAGATACCATACTTTGGAGGTTTTATTAGATTTGTGATTGAATTCAGAAGTCCAACTTCTTATATGAAGCGTGTTCTTCAATTGTGGCCATGGATCAACATAACGACCAACTAAAGAATTTTGGACCAAAAGCTTAGTCTCCACCGTGCTACCCTCCGTTCCAATGATGAGATATTTGAGTTTAGAAGATGGGCAAGTATAATCATTGAATAAAATCATTTTTCAAACTACAAAAAAAAGGGAGTGTTAATATTTATTTATGATGATGCACGAAAGAAGATAAAACTTGAAAAAAAAAGGTAGTTAAGAAGGGGAAAATAATTTAAGCATTAGGGATCTTGAAATGCCTCAAGATTAGTGTTCTTCAAGGGGGGACGTCAAACACATCCCTTAACACCTTATGCTTAAGTATTTGGACCTTGTAAAGCCACGAGATTAGTGTTTTTCAAGGCGAGGACGTTAAACACGTCCCTTCACACCTTATGCTCAAGTATTCGGGATTTAGTAAAGCCTCAAGTTAGTGATCTTCAAGGCGGGGACGTTAAACACATCCCTTCACACCTTATGCTTAAGTATTTGGGACCTTGTAAAGCCTCGAGATTAGTGTTTTTCAAGACGGGGACGTTAAACACATCCCTTCACACCTTATGCTCAAGTATTCAGAATTTAGTAAAGTCTCAAGTTAGTGATCTTCAAGGTGGGGACGTTAAACACATCCTTTCACACCTTATGCTTAAGTATTTGGGACCTGGTAAAGCCTCAAGATTAGTGTTTTTCAAGGCGGGGACGTTA